CATATTAGAAAAAATAACCTCTAAAGAACCCATAACAGATCCAGGTACAGACAAAACAACGCAGTAAAAAAAGGAAATAAAAAACCAGCAGCCCAACCACACATAAAACAACAGTGCACTCACCCATTTCTGACATTGGGCAAAGCCAATTTATCAAGAACAAGCATACCTTTAAAGGAGATATCAAGATTTACAATATCAATTTCTTCATAATCAACCAGATTAGCACCCTTTTTCGCCAACCAATCCGCACACATGTTCCCTTCACGATAAATATGGGAAATCCTAAAGTTTAAAGTGAGTAGAATATCTCTAATTTTCCTAAAAATGTAAAAATTCTTCGCATTGCCAATGAAGTTCTCTAAAATACTCGTGACAATTAACTTAGAGTCCAACTCAATCCACACATCATGATAACCCTTTTTAGAACACAGCTGGACCCCCAAAAATAAAGCATTAAGCTCAGCCCATAAAACATCCAGCCGATTAACAGGAGCAGCAAAGCCAGAGATAATATCACCCTGAAAATCACGAATAAGACCACCCGCTCCAGCATAAGCTAAACCCACAGACCCATCAGTATTCAATTTAATAAAAGGGGGTTTGGGTTTAACCCAGTAAACCATCGTATCCAAATAAACATCACTGCCTTTATCAAGCTGGATACCCAGCTTAACAGCCACAATATCGCAATTATCAAAAGTTTTACAGTTAATAACATTGCAGGAGTACAAGTTCTTGATTTTACTAATCACATTGTTAATAATGTTAGTGTCAACCATTTTAATATTATCATGTTTAGCCTCATTACGCGCTTTCCAAATATACCATAATATCAGAATAGGCATCAGATTGGTAATATGACCTTTAGTAGGACTGAACCAACTATCCACCATATCAAACAAATTATCCGGGGTAAAAGTAACATTCATATTAAATATTTGATAAAAGTAAAGCCAAACTTTATGCGCAATCCTACCATTAATAAAAATGTGATCAATATCCTCCAAATTAGAACAACAAAAACATTTAGAAGCTAAATTGAAACCTTTCTTTTGCAGAATATTATCAACAGGTAAAAAACCTTTGAAACACCTCCAAACAAAAGTCGAGTAAGTAATAGGGAAAGTGCTATGCCAAATAGAAGCAAATCTAACAGATTTTTCCAAATGCATGCGGCATTTATCCCAGACATTACGCATATGAAATTTACCATCAGAAGATGCAGCAAACAGAATTTTATCCAAAACATTAATATTTAAAGGAATAGCTAAGATGATGTTCACTAAACAACTAGGAAGCAGCTGATTTAATCTATTCACATTCCAACTATTGTTACAAATAAAATGAGAAACCTTAACAGTATCCAAAGTGTGAGAATTTAAGTAGGAGTCTATAGAGAAATCCCCCAACCAATTATCCTATGCTTTCTTTTGTCGTTAGAGCATTCATTGTGAAGATATGATTATTATGGCTTCTAATATTAAGCGTGCAAACTCCCTAAGTTAATCATCCTTGCAAGTACGTTTCACATCACCATGATTTACTTCTTAATGCTTATTTTACTCCTGATTGATACTTGGTTGAATGTCAAAACTATAAATTTAGTTGGTTCAATTAACAGTAGCTAGTTGATTTTGTTGTTTTCATTATTAGATTTGCTCAAACATGTTGAATATTTTCAACAAAGGTCTGATAAGGAGTGTATTTGGTGAATGGAGAAAATTTTAATAGTTTGTATTAATATTTGCTTGAATCTGTGAATGCTTTTTTATAATGATGAATGAGTTCAAATTATACTTTTTTAATGTTGATTTACTCGGTGTAAAACATTCAACATGAGGAACAATTTTCAAAACCCACTTTGAAAATATTTTTTTTCTTGTTGCTTGATGGTAAATCATGGATGATAATCAAAGGTACTTCCAGCAATGAATTCAATCGAAATATTAAGAAATTTTTTAATGCACCATTAAGCAAACTAATAGGGTATGGGTTGAAATAATTTCTAAGAAGTTCACAATCATCCTTTAGAGACTAGACATATTTAAGTAGAACTGAGATTAGGTAATGATATAGCATGCCAGAGGTGTTTCAGGTTTAATTGATGTCTATTATGAATACAAAAGGGCTTTTTGAATATCCATACTTCATAACTCAAAATCAATATTAAATGATTTTTTTGACTTGCACTTCTCAATGTTCAATTTGAACAAAATCGAGTCCATTTGATGTTAATTATGAAAATTGAGTGAATTTCTATTATAAATTTTATTGAAAAAGTACATTATATATTTATATCATATGTGAGCTTTAGTGGGTATCCAACCATGCCCATCATTAATGCAATCTAGCCGAAGTCCATGATGAATTTTAGAGCCCATTTGACACTTTCAAATTCTTATTTTTCTCGCAAGTGATACTAGGTTGAATGTAAAAACTAAATTGAGTTGGTTTAATTAACACTAGCTATTTAATTTTGCTGTTTTCATTATTGGATTTTCTTAAACATATTGAATATTTTCAACAAAGGTCTGACGAGGAGTGTATTTGGTGGATGGAACAAATTTTGTTAGTTTGTATTAATATTTGTTTTTAATCTGTGAATGATTTTTTTATAAGTGACGCATGAGTTCTAATTATACTTTACTATTAATTTACTCCGTGTAATACATTAAAGATGAGAAACATTTTTTTGCATTTGAATTTCTTTATTTAAGCTAATTCTTCTTGGTGTAGCATATTCAAAATGAGATGCATGTTATTTTTTGCACAAATGTTATTTTTTGCATTGTGCTTGAGATAGTTTTTTTTAATTGCTCTGTATCTTTCACATATTGTCATTTGAATATAAGTTATATTTTTAGATAATGGAGCAAATTTTGATTGTTATGTTAGCTTGTCTATGAATCTATTAATATTTATTTGGGTGAATTTCAAAAGTCCCCGACTTTTGTATATGACCAATTTAGTCCCCTAGTATCACGTTGCTCCAGTTTACTCCCTTGGCTATACAAAATTGATACAAAATGATCTCTTTGGGACTAAATTAGGCTTAGTTTTGTATAGTCAAGGGATTTAATTGGGATCAATTTTGTATATTTGAAGGACTAAGTTGTAACGTGAGATTCTAGGCTAAATTGGCCACAAATAAATAGTCTAGGGACTATTTTGAATTTTTTCTAAATATTTATGTTATAGCAAAGGTAAAAACCACATTGCTAAAATGAATTTACTCGGTTTAATGTATTATATATGAGATTCTAGTTATCATTGCATGCTTGAATTTTATTGTGTTTGAGAAAAGTCTTATAGACTTACTCATTGTCTATGATGCACAAACACGGACACGGACATGAAACGTACATGGGAGACATTTTTTTTTGAAAATGTAGGGCACGGGTACGACGTGGACACGCCATTACAATTTTGTTTATATAGTGTATAGAAATTAATATAACATCATATTAGAAATGACAAACAACAATAAATGAATGTCATGATAAGTTGTCTAGCTTATAATATTAAATATTTAATACAAAATGTCTAGTACAACATGTTTAGATGACTATGTTTTATGGGGATGAACATGTGATAAATATATCAGTGATAACCTATTTGAGTGTGGCAAAGATCAGAATGCTATGACATGTGTGAAAAGACTACAAATGATAAGTTGACAAAAAAAGATTTATTCTCTAATAATCATGCAAAATATAACAAAGCTAAGCAACCCGGAAACATTGTCAAATATACGATCAAATTTTTAGCAACATAGACTGAAAATCTTGCAATTATTGCATTGATGACTAGAGAATTAGGTGCAACAACATAGCTTCAAGAGTAGAAGGAAGAGGGGAAGGGAATGGAGAAGAGGAATACTAGAAGGAATAAGGGGTAGGGAATATACTTGCGGGAGAGAGGGATGGTCGGCCCGACAGGATGCTCGGAGGCGGTTGAGTCCGATAGCTGGAGCGGAACTCGAGTTCGGGCCTGAGGTCATAGGTCGGACACAAGCTTCAATTTGCTATGCGTGCCAAAGAGATGAAGGAGGAGAGGGGTTCGGTGGGTCTTCCAGTGTGAGATTGAGGGAGAGCAGATGTGGGGAGATCGATGTGTGCCAAAGCGATGGGAGGAGGGAACTTCGGCACCAGGAGGGGCTGCGGGAGACGGGGCAAGGGGCAGAAACCCTAAGGCATACGGGAGGCTCATATTGATGCATATACGTGCGAATGTAATGTTTTATTTGATTAGTAAATATAAGAATATAAAAAATTTAGAATTTAAAATAATTTTATCATAAAAAATTAGGACACGCGTATCCGCTTAAATTTAAACATTTTTTTAATCGGACACGTGTTTTTCACGTGTGGACACTGCATGTCCTTTTTAAGGGCGAATTATTAGGTCCGATCACCGAACCTAATCTGCGTCCGGAACCCGTGCGCTTTTCATGTGCTTTTACTGCGCTTTTGATGTATTTTTGCAAAAAGGCAGCTAATACACAATTTTAATTGCATATTAATTGCTTTTTTGTTGAGTATTTGCAAAAATAAAGAAAAAGCGCAACAAATATCTCACTCATTGTGTATTTGGTGCCCTTTTCCTGCGCTTTTCAAATACTCAATAATAGGGCAGCTAATATGCGCAGTAAAAACGCATATTAGCTGCCCTTTTGCAAAAATACATCAAAAGCGCAAGGTTCCAAACGCAAATTTAGGTCCGGTGACCGGTTCTAATAATTCGCCCTCTTTAAGAGGAGCGTTGGTGCATCATAGCTCATTGTAATATAGACATAATGTGAGAAATGATAAATTTTATAGTAATCACAACTACCACACCTTTCTGATACTCTCTGTGAAGGTAGCCTTTATAATGTCATATATACTTCTTTATATCTATTTTTATTACGTACTGAATTTTATGCTTCATATGCGTGTCATTTGTCCATTATATTCATATTGAAATATTTTCTTTATTTTCTTTTGTATCCTTGGCAGGGCGTTGGCTCTGTTTCTACAATTAAGAATTCCATTGTAAGTAAGACTGCAACTGTAACTTTCATTTGCCGGTTAGAAATTGGTATTACCAACTTTTATCTAAACAGTATTATTGTATTATGCTAAATAAAATTGAGTTAAGAAACTAAGTAAATCATTTACTTTTAGCCGTTATTTAGTTATGCAAGCTTTAGGCGACCAGTTGGTTGAACAGATAGCGCCTTCATGTGTTTTGTTGTTTTGCCGATTAGGTTTTTAAATTTTTGTCAATTGCTATTGTTGACAAGCACTGATCCTGCGGCATTGGAGTTTTCATCAATGTTTATATGTTAGTGCCCTTAGTTCTTCTAATTTAAGTGGTGTTATCAGCCAGTAAAGGTCAAAGAATGAAAAAATCTCATACGCATTTAATGAATTTGTTATTTCTATCAAGTTTAGAGACAAAAGATCCTCGGGTGAAATTTGAATTTATTTTGAATAATAATCCAAATATTTTGACCTAATTATGTTTTGATTTGTGTCACTTGACGATCGTTTTAGAGGAAGCTCAATGGCCACTTCACATCATTGTGAGCATTCCATGGGACATGAGGGTTCTCTTGGTTGAAGTTATATATAATTAATGTCCTAGAACTATTAGGTTTAGCTTGATCTGATAATTATTTGTGGTTGATTTCCTTTGATTTATGATACTCTTAATTTGAGCAAAACTTTATGTTTCTCGTGGCATTCTTTCTATCCTCTCCACTACTGAAGGAAAAACAATAAGTATAGCAAGGCGCTTCCTCTTTCTTGTTATATTGTCTAAGGGCAAAATCCATTGTTGTAAATAGCAAAATACACACAAACAGGCCATTGATTAAAACTGCAGTTTCTATGTTTCTTGAAGATCAAAAAATGCAATTGTGGTGTAAATTAAACTTGTTTGACTACGTTCCTATGGCTGATTTAACGTTTGACTTATGTTTGGTTTTGCATATACTGCGAGCAGCATGAAAAACCTTTGGCCATGTATGAGATATTATAAACACATAACATTCACTGCACTATCTTGAAAAATAAAGTATTTGTCTGAACTTTTTAAAGATAATAAAATAAACTCAATAAACTTTAACTATTTTAGTTGCTTATCATCAAAGTGCAACTTAGGGTTAAATGGAACAATATGCTCTATTTACAATTCAATTATCATTCAATACTTATTTTTGTTTGTTTATTAGCTTATTTAATTTCTCATTTTAGGTTTCTGTTAAACTTATATCTGACCCATGCGTTTTAAGTGGAATATATTTATAAATATACAATTATGATGGTCATAATAATCAAAGTGTTATATATTTTAATTTAATTTATTTATTGATATTTGGCTTTTAAATATTGAAAACATGCAGCTTGAATTATTCGAATTTCTTATGATTTATGAAGAATTATGTAACATTTGCTAGGTAAAGAGGTTATAAGCTTAAATATTAGCAAATCACATATATTTTGTTAGGCTTGATTTAAGTTTGACAGTGTGAACATGATAAAGAAAATAAGATAAAATACTTTCAACATGATTTTAATACTCTGCGATATATTTATTTTGAGCTCAGTAAGAATATAAATTAGCAAGTTTGAACATTGTGATTCTTGCCTCTGCTTGTTTTGTTTATAGAGTGCTTATCTCAAAAATTGAACTCAACACTACAATGGATTTGTAATTTAAGGGAGCAAGTGGCCTTATTAGTCTAATACCGTGAAGGGAGTCTTTTGCTTGTGTTGAAGGCTTCTAAGCTGTTGTCTATTTGTTATAAATTCACCGGAATTTTCCTTCTCAGTGAGATTAACACTTTTCTGATAATGCAAAGGGAAATTCCTTCTTGATGTGTATTTCATCTCTTTTCCAAGTGAAGCCCTGGTTATTGCTAACTGAAGTGAATTTATTGATTTTACGGTCACAGACTTCCCCTCGTTTGGAAGATTATATTGATTTTCCTGTCCAGGGACCTTCTGATTTTTGCCGGTAGAGAAGGAATAAGAATTCTACTACCAATATCCAATATACTGTGTTGGGCACCCTCTCGCTAAAGAAATAGAAGTATTGGTTTAGTTCAATTAATTTGCTTTTATGAGTGAAGATAAACGGCGCTGCTCTTTTTCTTTTTCTCCTCTTCTGATATATTAAGTCTTTTTACATAATAATTTGTATTTCATATATATTCTTGTTGCTATTTATTTGACTGACTTATTAGCAGCCAACCCTCAATAGAATTCTGCTCAAGACCAAAGTGAAGAAACAGCTTCTCAGGACGCTAATGCTGACAGCACTCCGAGAACTCCGCCATCAAAAATCGTAGCCCTAGGGTCTCCTCCAACAGCAGCTCCATCTGCTGTAGCTCTGGGGGCATCAGCTGGATCCAATTCTGCTGCTACTTCTAATGCTTCTGTGCGTCCATCAGTTGGTCCAACTGCAACATCAATATTTTCTGGTCCTGTTCGCGGTGCATCTGACAGTTTATCTGCCACTACCCCCCCACTTGTAAACTCATCTGTTTTAGTTAAGGAAGATGATATCATCTCCTTCCCTGGAAGGAGGTCTCCTGCTATCCCTGAGATTGCGCTAGGAAGAGGCCTAAATAGAGTACCATCGAATCAAGCATCCACTAGTACTCCCATAAGTTTAAGCTCTGTTGGCATTTCTAGCCCTGGAGCTCTCAGTTCAGTCTCTGCAGCATCCGACATGAGCAAGAGAACCATTCTGAGTGTTGATGAAAGAATTCCTAGTGCTGCTCTTGCTCAGCCATTGGTTTCTCCTTTAAGTAGTAAAATGCTACTACAGCAGGTTTCACAAGCTAATGATGGGACTGTCCCGATTGATTCAATTAATTTGGCTGAAAGTCCTATTGTTGGTGGAAGAGTTTTTTCACCATCTACTGTCAGTGGAGGCCAATGGAGGCCTCAAAGTGCAACTTCCTTTCAGAATCAAAATGAAATGGTATGCTTTTATGTTATTTCGGAATTTAAATCTGCATTTAGTTTATTATTGCTCCCTTTTAAATAAATGAATGGTGAATCTTTTGTTTATGAACTATTTTCATTGTGCAACTTTATACTAGTCATATGGTTTGGTTACACGTGATGTAGTATGAAGATGGAAATCAGGTGTTCCTTTTTTCCACTATGTTTGCATTGTTTGTGGAAGATAAAGGGAAGAAATAGGTTGAGAAAAAAAGGCAGATTGTGGACAGAGTCAGTGGCTCAAAAAACTTTCTAGACTTCCCAACCAATTTCTGTCCCTACTCAAACTGTGTAGAATCTCACTTTGAGTGTATGCCACTTGAATATCATACACGCCAAAATGATCATTCATCAATAAGATGCTATTTGCTAAATAAATTTGAATATTTGTTTTGCCATTTCCACGAAAATAAGTATTTCTTAATTGTTCCATTTATGGCAGGTAATATTTTTCTTTGGTTTCCTTATTGTCTTATTGTTAAGGTTTTAGATGAATCATTTTGCTATGAGCTTTTTAAAACTTATTTTGTATTAATTTCTGTTGCATGGGTTCGGTTATGCTTTTATGCTTGTGCTCTTACATATTTTGAAAGAATGAAATACAGTAATAGACACTTTGAAGAATTCTTATACAACATTTTTATAGGCACAATTACGTGGTAGACCTGAGATTGCTCCAGACCAGAGGGAGAAGTATCTGCAACGTCTCCAACAAGTGCAGCAACAAGGCCATGGTACCCTTCTTGGTGTCCCTCATTTAACTGGAGCTAATACCAAACAATTCCCTATGCAACAACAGAGTCCCCTTTTACAACAGGTTCATGTTTCATTTAGACATGGCTATTTGTTGTACTGATTCTTTTTTCTTATAGTTATAAAGTTGATAGCTATGTCCTGTGAACTGAAAGTATCATTTATTATAATAATTAGTTCCATTTAGATCCCCTGTAGTTTGTTAGGTAAGCTAGCATTGTTTTCTTTGGACGCAATTGTAAATCTTTTCATTGGATGCGCTGAAAGTATTGATAGCATTTAATTTAATAATTAGTTCTGTTTAGATCCCTTGTAGCGTGTTAGGTAATTTACTTTTCTTTTCTTTGGATGCAATTGTAAATCTTGCTGTTTTCCATCGTTTGTTAGGTCGGAATAGGGCTTAATGTTCAGCCACCAGGTTTAGTTGCTGCTACATCTGTTCAACAACAGCTGCAGGCTCCCATGCATAAACAATCACATCATATATTGCCATTAACCGGAGCAAAAGAAACTGGTTAGCTTCTTTTTTTAAAAAAAAATCCTGTATCTATTAACCTTCAGTACTTGATGATTATTGCCTAGTCTGTTTGCTTATTTCATAATGTTAGATATGGGCAGCGCTAAAGTAGACGAGCTGCAACAGCAGACTCTGCTGGACGATTTGAATGTGGAGCCTGCTGTGAGTATTGGTCTTGACAAGGGTATCAATGATGATGATTTGAAGTCAACATATGCGGTAGGAAAACTAATTTAACATTTTCATAGTCAACTTTGTATTCAAATTCTGTCTTTTAGCTTAAAGAAGTTATGAATTCTTTTAAAATCAGGAACATGAACAGGAATTAATGTTTTTAGATGTACAAATTTTTGAATATTATGTTTATCCATGCTTAATAATTTTCAAAATTTAAGTCGAGGACTTCTTGAGCATCAATTACCAATAGCAAATTAGGCTCTCCAAACATGATTGGTAAATGTGGAAATAATATTTAATTTTGATTGACCTAATAATGTATGAAAGTTGGCAATTTTATTTCAAATCAGAAAAATCAATTGTATTCAAATTTCTTTAAGAGAATATAGCTTTTACAGTAATTGGATCATTATTCATTAATGGAGGCACATTTTTCAGCAATTGTTTTAACCTTATTTATTTTTGAACCTAAGGATCTTTCGTCTCCTTCTTATTGTAACATAGGATTGTTTGTTGTAGAAGAGATGATGATTACATTTAAACTTGCATAACGAAAAAGATGTGAATACTAATCTTTTGTTCAATTGAAGGGTTCGCGTTTAATCATTACGGTAGGGGTATTGCTCTAGGTTGAGGAGATATGTTGCTTGAAAGATGAAAATGACGATGTCATTTGGAAGAAAGATATTTTAGCAGCTATCTTGTTCGATCATTCTCAGAACCATGGCCAATGCTGCTATCAAAAGAATTATCCAAAATAATCTTTTGGGCAAATTCCTCCAAATAAATGTATTGGGGTCATATTTGTCTAATTAGGTGCATTTTGAAACATATAAAGTCAACATTTCCTTTTAAATTGAATAATGAATATTAAGTTCAAAAGAGGGTTCAAACGTAAAAGACTTTAGAAATAATAATATTCATTATCTTACGCCACATGTTAATTTTATTTGTGTACATTTCAATTCCATTGAGCTTTATGTAATTAATGCCCCGTTGTCACTTTTGCTACTTAATCTTATGGTGAACAAACATTTTATATGAAATGTTACCACTTGTTATTCCTAGAGCAATTTTATTGAACTTCATAGGAATGCCTTTCTCTTACCATCTGTTCAATTGCCTCTTGATGCTTTGAGGAATTGTTACTTAGTACTTAAAACAAAATTGCCTCAATGTGCATAAATGAGTTTTTTTTCCGCTTGGTGCTTAAAAAAATTGCAATTGGTGTAAAAAAAATAAATATATATACAGCTTGCAGAATGATGATTTTGATAGGAAAATTTGGAAAGGTGAAGTGTTCACTAACTCCTCTAGCGCACGCAGATACGGCTCATTATAACAAATCAGAATTTAATGGTTTATTTTGCATTTGTTAGAGTTATTTGTGTGGTGTTTACTCAATGGTATAAGCGACACTGAAATAATATGTTTGTTTTGGCTGTTATTCAAGATCTGCATGCACCTCATAGCAGAGGTTTAGAACTGCAGATACCGCTCATTATTTGTGAAATGTTTATCTAAGGAACAAGTGACACTGACAAATGTATATCTGTTGATTTTTATTGTGTTTTGTTGTACATACACGTGTGGGCAGTGGTTTAGAAATACAATTAAGCAATCCCACATCATGATGATAGTACGTTGTTTAATCCATGGGTTGACTCTTCTGTATATGTTTTTCTTTTACTTAATATTTTCATTTGTGAAATTACAAATTGTCTCTTATACTAGGTCTCAAGTTCTGCATCTATAGTTGATGCTAGTCAATTACCCAGAGGTACAGATCTCTCTCCAGGACAAGTATTGCAATCAAGCCAGTCTTCAGCCAGTCTTGGTGTCATTGGAAGAAGAAGCGTTTCAGAACTTGGTGCTATCGGTGATAACCTTAGTGGTTTAGCTGTGAATTCTGGTGGCCTGCACGATCAGAACTATAATTTGCAGATGCTTGAGGCAGCTCTTCGCAAGCTTCCTCAACCCAAGGATTCACAACGAATCAAGAATTATACGCCGGTACAACCTTTTTACTGTATGCAATTGTTTACTACTTTCTTCTCTGATAACTTTGGTATTATTTTAATAAACCTGATGATTTTTAAAAAAATAATTCAGAGGCATCCCACCGTGACTCCTGCTAGCTATCCTCAGACTCGTGCTGACATTTTTGAAAATCCAGCCTTTTGGGAGAGGCTGGGTATGGACCAATCTGGCACTGATACGTTATTCTTTGCATTTTACTATCAACAGGTATCTTCATTACGGCTATGTGCTCTTTAAAACATTGGTAAACCAGTAATTTGTATAAAATAATATGAATAAATTTTGCAGAACACCTACCAACAATACTTAGCAGCGAGAGAATTGAAGCGACAGTCCTGGAGGTACCATAGGAAATATAACACATGGTTTCAGCGACATGAGGAGCCTAAAGTTACGACAGATGAATTTGAGAAAGGAACATATGTGTATTTTGACTTTCATATTACAGATGATAATCAACAGCATGGATGGTATGCCCAACTCCAGTTTTATTTAATTATTATTTTCTTAACCGCTACTAATATACCTTGAGCAGAACTTATTTGAAGAATTTTCACTCATTGTCACCGATTTGTGATAAGAATTTGAGAGAATTTGTTGTGTGATTGATTTTATCATTTGTGTTGAATTTATACAAGTATAGAGAAACCCCAGTTGGAAATATTCATGAACAACGGAATGAAAACTAAATGTAGAATCAATTATAATTAGGAAAGTTCATTAATTGATGAAGTGACAAAATCATCTCATGGATCATGGAGGTGCCATGAAGTGAATAAGGAAGATGGACTGTTAGACATGGTGAAACATTGATAGAGGTGGAGTGGAATAGTTAGAGATTGATTTTTTCATACTCTCCCTCAAGTGAATGAATGGATGATATTCATTTCAAGCTTGTATATAAATTTGTAACACATTGCTCCTAAAAATCCTAGATTGTTTGCAAGTTGCCCATCTGTGATAATGAAATTAGTACAAATTAGACCACTATCTTGCTTATTTTTTTTAAAATGCCTATCAATTTTAGTATGCTTTGTTTAATTATGTTGGACAGAATTATGTGCAACATTGATGACGACTTTTTGTTACAATAAAGCTTAATAGGAACTTTTCATTCAAACTAGATATTCTCAAATAGTTTTTTTTTTTGCCATAGCAGTGCACAAATTCCTACTGCGATAGATCTAAATTTATCTTGTCATGATATTATTTTTTTACTTGTTGAATTCATGAGGTTCCCTCTTATTTTGAAGTTGATCTCATATCAACCATAAAACCTATTTAATCAACAACTACCTAGTCTTTGACTGTCAAATTCTTCACATTTTTAATAAAATTCCTTCACCGGGAGCTCATTTCATGTATTATAAAATTCGATATACAACCCTAGGGTGTTATTCCTTAAAGTTATGCATGAATTAACTTACCATTCCAACAACATAGACAATGACAGGTTTGTTATGTAATAAATAACTAAGTCTTTTCATGTCTTTAATAGGAGGTTTTTTTTCTTCTACTGTCTTCTCGAGCTTTTTAAAGTTTATGATTAAATTTTATGAGGCTTTCAACAAAATTGCATTCGAACTTGCCAGTCTCTTTCAATAGGCCTTATTTGGTTCTATTTTGATATTGGATCTTATATTGAGAGTGTGAAATCTTAATGACAATGAAGCGCTTTAGTTTACTTGATTTCTTGATTCCAATTTCTTGGAGTGGCCACTTCTTTAAATCTCCATATCTTTCCAAGTCAGCCTTAAGCCCATATCTTTTTGCTTTAGTCTTGGATGTTCTCACTAGACATTTGCAAGAGGATGTACCTTGGTGTATGCTTTTTGCTGATGATATTCTTCTTGTTGATAAGACTAGAGAGGGAGTTGAAGGTAAACTTGAATTATGGAGGTCAACCTTAGAGTCGAAATAGGGTATTCTTTGCATTGTTAATTCTCTGGAACCATAAATTTTGCATGCTATTGATAGTTGCTCATGTTAAGTTATTAGAAAATATTCAATATTTTTAAATTTTGATTCGCTTGTGTTCCATACTTCTACAGATAGCAGTTATTTAGTTTAATTATCTGTACTCACTTTCTTAACAGTTAACTTTGGATTCAATGCTGTTAAAGGCAAGTTAGATGCTCCACTAGGTGCTAGTGTTGGGCCTTGTACTTGTTGAGTCCCTTGGAAATGACGAGAAAAATGAATTCCTTTATAGTCAAGCTTTATTATGGGCATTAGTTAGCATGTTGGAGGCGTGCAACCCATTTAATTAAATATCTTGATCTCAAGTGTGTAAAATTGTTCTAGAAATATTCATTTGCTTTCTATTTCTCTGTACTGAATCGAGATTAGGAGCTTTTTTTTGTCTTCCATTGTGATATTAATACTCTTCCCTTACTCTTAGGCTGCTCATCAATGTTGGAGATTTCCAAGTAGTTTTTGGGCTTCTTTAAAGCCCAATCTCACATTTATGAGCCAACAATTTTTATACCCTCAAGTACTTGAAAAGGAAAGCATTTTTCTATTGGTTTTGCAAGCAAAATATTTAAATTATATCTAATACATAAAGTTTTGTTTCTAAATTGATAAGGTTGTGAGTTTTTCAATATAGCGTTTGTTTTTAGGAATTGCGTTATATACCGGTCAGGGTATTTATATGCTGAAAAACTTTCTTGTTGATGTCTATTTCTCCCAGCATTTGATAGAAATGCATGTCAATGGATCTCCCATTTTTTATTAATACTCTTGGGAACTCATAATTGTTAATCTCAGCAGTCATAAATAAAATCATTTTACATATTTGTACCTTTGCAGCGAGTTTCATCAATGTCGTCTAGTGAGACACTACTGGCATTGAACGCACTTTGAGCCTTCTACTTGAGTGTTGATCGATGCATCTGCTTATGCTTTCTATGTTTGTTACCAAAATTCTAGCTCATTTATAGTCTCTCTTGTGTTGACCACATTTTAATTCTTTTTGAAGGGCTTTGACAACTTTCTTTGTTTCTTTGGCACACTATTGTAGGCATTTTTTATTGTTCAAGCCTTTAATGAGTGTCCAGAGTTTCTGAACTGAATATTATCATTGTGTTTGTGCAGATAATGACATTTTCATCTTGATCTCTGAGATTTATCTGTGGCTTCATCTTTTGTTGGCTACTTAAAAAACTCTTTATTGTTCATAGGAACCGTAACCGCCTTCCTTGGGTGGTTCTGGTTTAGCGGTCCTAAATCTCCAGCGTTACCAAATCTGTCCAAGGCGTTATCATTCTCCTCAAAGGTTAAATAATAAAAAATAAAAAAAAAGATCTCCTCAAAGGTCTCTTATGGTGCGAATGTTGGCCATTAAAAGAGAAGCATAATACTAAGTTAAGCGTTGCAGAGATGAGGATGCTTAGGTGGATGAGTGGCTTTACACTTAGAGATAGGATACAAATGAGCATATACGTGAAATTGGTTGGGAGTAGCTCCAGGGAAATAAGATTAGAGAGAGTCGCCTTAGATGGTTGGGTTCAAATTAAACAGATTCTCTGATGACTGGTTAGGAAAAGTTGAGGTATTAAGATTTGACTTATGTTAAGAAAGGTAGAGGTAGACTAAAAAGAGTTGTTTAGAAAATATTAGAATGATCTTTCTTTATTAAGATTTATATGAGAATTTTTACTTTTAACAGGCACAATAACGAAATATGATTACATGTAGACCACCCACGTAGTGGGATAAAGGCTTGATGATGTTTTGTTGTTGTTTTAAAGGTCTCTTATAGAATGACATTTTCCCCTTTGCAAACTTGGTTTGAATTTAACTAGCATCCTTGTTCCATATATTAGATAGATTTTGGGGGGATTTATCGGATGACAAACCATGATTTTCCCTCTTTCAGACCTTGTATTACTGGCATCCAATTGTATAGAGGCTCCATATAATGGTCTCAAGGCTCCAACATTTCTTTATTTAACTTTGTTGCTGTCAGAGAGTTCATGTTTCTGCTGTTTCAAGGTTAGCAATTTTTAGGAGTTTGCAAATGTGTAATCAAGTAGTTTCCTGATTTTGTTGAATGTCTTAAAACTCCAGGAAGAATCAGCTTCCTTCATACATTAAGAACGCTCTTGATTTTGTGTAAGGACACATTTAAGCAAAACTTGGCATACAAGAATACTTTTTCTCAATCTTCTTCAAAACTTTGGAGTGTTAACAAAACTTCTCGTGAACATATTAAAGCTATAATCTCTGCAAAAATTGCAAAATATACTAAAAGAAATTTACAAATTTTTTTTAGAGATTGAAAGAAGATATATCATAATTAGGAGAATTAAGGAGTTTTTCTTTTGGATGACTATTTTGAATTTTCTTTTTCAAAAAATACTTTTTATGAGAAGAGAGATACTCAACAAAGATTGATGAGATATTCGATATTGTTTGTAATGAAGATTGTGAGAATACAATTGACTTTATAGATCTTAGCACCCTAAATAAAATAGATATTTTTTATTTTTATCGTCATATTAGTAAAACTAAAGTTAAAAGAGGTTTTAAAGAAAATGAAGTGTGAAAAGCTGTATACACTGGTGATATTCTATACCAGTGTGAAAATGCTTAGGAGATGAAGAAATTTCTTGGTTAATAAAATTTAATTATTATTTTGAAGTTACTAATATGTCAAATGATTGAGTGTGTTGATTTCTTTTTTAAAGAATAAAGGTGATGCAAAAGAGTGTGAATTATAGACGAATTAAGTTAATGTGTTTAATTAAAAATTATGGGAAGATTTATTAGATAGTTGCGTCGTGATACTAATGTTTTCAAATCAAATTGGATTCATGCTGGATGGTCTCTATGGAGTTTATATCATTTATTGAGCAGTTTGATGGAGAAGTGTAGTGAGAATAAGGAGGATTACATATGATATTTTATTGATTTAATGAAAGCATATGGTAAAGTTCATAGAGAGTGCCTGGAGATATTCTAGAAAGAAAGGAGTTAATAATGGTTATTAATCAAATCATTAGGATATGTATGCATGAGATGTTTCTGTGTTTACACAAGGTAGGATCAAGTATGTTTTCTTTCAGTTGGATTACAACGAAGATCAGTTTTAGGTCCAAATATTTTTTTCAACTCTAAAGATTTTTATATTACAAAATAAAATATTTTTGTATTAAAACATTTAATTATATTTATAATTTTATATTGAGAGTTTTAAGTTTTTAAATAATTTATATTTATAAATTAAATCTAAATATGTAATATAAATTAAGAATAATTTATAGGAAATTATATGGTTATTATATTTCATTATTTTATCAATTTTATTAATTTTTTTTAATAATATTATTATTTATTACGTCATCCGGTTCGACCCCGGTTTGACCGGTCGAACCGTGAACCTCTCTTTCTTCCGGTTATTGTATCTTCTCGTTCCTCTTTGTTCCTCTTTGTTGTTAATGATAAAAGAACTCAAATAATATTAATTTTGGCATATGGAATACAGGTTTCAAGATAATCGTCCCCATCTGTTTGAGTTAGCTTTGGGCCACTTGTCTAACTCTATACCTCTTTTGTGAACCATTAGATTTTGCTATTTTACAGTAAAGACCCATGTATCACCCAATGTTTTCTTTTCTTTTAATGATCATGAATTCCTATTTTTTGTTCTTTTTAAGGACTACTTACATTTATTCTGTTGTAAAATTATTCCAATTTACATTATTTAAATCCGCAAAGATAATTTTATAGATAGAAATAGTGTGGAATTATTATTCGGAGTTCTCACAGAACTCTTGGGTTTTAGTTGTTGCATGAGTGATTTGACCATAATGTTTGCTAAGAATCCTAACCTAACACCAGCCTTGTTTTTTTTTTTCTCTAGTTAGATTTAAATAAGAATTTAACTCTTCATGTAATACAATAGAAAAAAAGGATTTATGTAGCCTATCCCATGTAAAGGTTTGTTGTTGTTTTTGTTGAACTTATTTACCATGTTATTTTATTATTCTATGTCAATGTTGTTAATTGCGTTGGAAAGTGATCTATGTCAGTTCCTGGTGCATGGCTGCATCTATGCTGTTTTATATTGGAGCTTTGACTTCTCATACTAATAAATGTTACCGGTGATTTATTCTAATTTAATATGCCATTTGCAGGTGCCAGCGGATTAAAACTGAGTTTACATTTGAATACAATTACCTTGAAGATGACCTTGTGTTATAGACTTTCTAAAGCATCATACATTGGTAAAGGAACTCTGCAACTCCTGCATCTACAGGTCACTGTGTGCATTATTTTGCTATATCGAACTTTTAGACTCTTATTGGCAATATCCAGCATTTTAATGTATTTGTCTTTGCATCCATTTGATTTACCGCATAGCTTCATTTTTTCCGAATCAGCTTTGACATTGGTAAATAATATAAACTGGCATTATTTGCTCACTCTATATGCATGTTGCATGACATTTTGATGTGATAGTTTTAATTGGAGTTTCAATTCGTTTATTATGGTGTTTAGAGTTATCAAAACATGTATCATAGTTATGCCAACAACTGCAAAACCACTCGGGATGATTTTGTTGCTAGCAGGAAAATGAAGTTTCACTTTAAATCATTAGGGAGATTCACTATAAGGAAAACACTAGTCCCAATCGTCAACCTTCTCTCCAGTATTGGGAGATATTTGGAAGATCTCTCCCCCGAAAGGAGTATGGATCATTAACTCAGGAGCCACATATCACATGGCACACTTCACTACCAACTTCATCAACTACACTCCTTGCTCGAGTGATAAGAAAATCATCACTGCTGATGATTCTCTTACCACAGTAGCAGGCCAAGGAGACATACCCTTATCTCTCTCCTTCACTCTAAAAAATGTGCTCCACGTACCTCAATTATCCACAAACCTAATCTCTATACAAAATTTACTAGTGATCATAATTGTCGAGTCCTATTTAACTGTTGATTCACCGAAATCTTTAAATAATAATTTCATAAACACCATTTGTCTTTTTTTAATTGCATCTTGATGTCTACCAAATTTACGAGCATACGGATATCACTCTATCTTATTTCTAAAATAATTTTCTTAAAGTCATATTCACCTTTGATCTTTCAGATAACATTATATTATTTATGCAATATAAAATTGAACCGAACGTGCTGCATTTGTAGATAACACTTCTCTCTAAAAAATATCTTTATCCAGTTAACATTGTTATACAAATGGCATTGAGCCAACCTCTAAGACTAAATACTTGATAGACTTCAAAGAACTTGTCTATCTAAACCCTGAATATGATAACGGAGAGGAAAGAAAGACTCAGACAAGTGTCTCTTGCTTTGCATTTTTTGTCAATGTTGCCCATTTGTAACCAAGCCCGTTATTTTGGGATTGCCATTGCTTCACCTGTTGAGTGGCTCCGCATTCTTCTACATGTACTGATAAGGGAGAGTAAATAACACAACTCATCATTGATCAGTACATTACGAGTTCCCATCATTTTGTGCGTTTTCATCTCTGAGGGATTCTCTCGGAACTCTTGTGGATACATAACTTGTTGGACATCCAATTCAATTTTTCATCAATGTCCATAACTCGTGGCTATATAATTCTTTGCATTGTTAATTCTCTCGGAACCATAAATTTTGCATGCTATTGATAGTTGCTCATGTCTTAAGTTATTAGAAAATATTCAATATTTTTAAATTTTGATTCGCTTGTGTTCCATACTTCTACAGATAGCAGTTATTTAGTTTAATTATCTGTACTCACTTTCTTAACAGTTAACTTTGGATTCAATGCTGTTAAAGGCAAGTTAGATGCTCCACTAGGTGCTAGTGTTGGGCCTTGTACTTGTTGAGTCCCTTGGAAATGACGAGAAAAATGAATTCCTTTATAGTCAAGCTTTTATTATGGGCATTAGTAGCATGTTGGAGGCGTGCAACCCATTTAATTAAATATCTTGATCTCAAGTGTGTAAAATTGTTCTAGAAATATCCATTTGCTTTCTATTTTCTCTGTACTGAATCGAGATAGGAGCTTTTTTTTGTCTTCCATGATGTGTATATAAACATCTCCCTTACTCTTACTCTTAGGCTGCTCATCAATGTTGGAGATTTCCAAGTAGTTTTTGGGCTTCTTTAAAGCCCAATCTCACATTTATGAGCCAACAATTTTTATACCCTCAAGTACTTGGAAAAGGAAAGCATTTTTCTATTGGTTTTGCAAGCAAAATATTTAAATTCTATCTAATACATAAAGTTTTTTTGTTTCTAAATTGATAAGGTTGTGAGTATTTTCAATATAGCGTTTGGTTTTTAGGAATTGCTGTTATATACCGGTCAGGGTATTTATATGCTGAAAAACTTTCTTGTTGATGTCTATTTCTCCCAACATTTGATAGAAATGCATGTCAATGGATCTCCCATTTTTTATTAATACTCTTGGGAACTCATAATTGTTAATCTCAGCAGTCATAAATATAAAATCATTTTACATATTTGTACTTTGCAGCGAGTTTCATCAATGTCGTCTAGTGAGACCACTATGGCATTGAACGCACCTTTGAGCCTTCTACTTGAGTGTTGATCGATGCATCTGCTTATGCTTTCTATGTTTGTTACCAAAATTCTAGGCTCATTATAGTCTCTCTTGTGTTGACCACATTTTAATTCTTTTTGAAGGGCTTTGACAACTTTCTTTGTTTTCTTTGGCACACTATTGTAGGCATTTTTTATTGTTCAAGCCTTTAATGAGTGTCCAGAGTTCTGAACTGAATATTATCATTGTGTTTGTGCAGATAATGACATTTTCATCTTGATCTCTGAGATTTATCTGTGGTCTTCATCTTTTGTTGGCTACTTAAAAAACTCTTTATTGTTCATAGGAACCGTAACCGCCTTCCTTGGGTGGTTCTGGTTTAGCGGTCCTAAATCTCCAGCGTTACCAAATCTGTCCAAGGCCGTTTATCATTCTCCTCAAAGGTTAAAAATAAAAAATAAAAAAAGATCTCCTCAAAGGTCTCTTATGGTGCCGAATGTTGACCATTAAAAGAGAAGCATAATACTAAGTTAAGCGTTGCAGAGATGAGGATGCTTAGGTGGATGAGTGGCTTTACACTTAGAGATAGGATACGAAATGAGCATATACGTGAAATGGTTGGAGTAGCTCCAGTGGAAGATAAGATTAGAGAGAGTCGCCTTAGATGGTTTGGTCAAATTAAACAGATTCCTTCTGATGACCTGGTTAGGAAAGTTGAGGTATTAGATTTGACTTATGTTAAGAAAGGTAGAGGTAGACCTAAAAAGAGTTGGTTAGAAAATATTAGAAATGATCTTTCTTTATTAGATTTATATGAGAATTTTACTTTTAACAGGGCACAATAACGAAAGATGATTCATGTAGCCGACCCCACGTAGTGGGATAAAGGCTTGATGATGTTGTTGTTGTTTTAAAGGTCTCTTATAGAATGACATTTCCCCTTTGCAAACTTGGTTTGATTTAACTAGCATCCTTGTTCCATTATTTAGATAGATTTTGGGGGGATTTATCTGATGACAAACCATGATTTTCCCTCTTTCAGACCTTGTATTACTGCATCCAATTGTATAGAGGGCTCCATATAATGGTCCTCAAGGCTCCAACATTTCTTTATTTAACTTTGTTGCGTGTCAGAGAGTTCATGTTTCTGCTGTTTCAAGGTTAGCAATTTTTAGGAGTTTGCAAATGTGTAATCAAGTAGTTCCTGATTTTGTTGAATGTCTTAAAACTCCCAGGAAGAATCAGCTTCCTTCATACATTAAGAACGCGCTTTGATTTTGTGTAAGGACACCCATTTAAGCCAAAACTTGGCATACAAGAACTACTTTTCTCAATCTCTTTCAAAACTTTGGAGTGTTAACAAAACTTCTCGTGAACATATTAAAGCAATATAATCTCTGCAAAAATTGCAAAATATACTAAAAGAAATTTACAAATTTTTTTTAGAGATTGAAAGAAAGATATATCATAATTAGAGGAATTAAGGAGTTTTTCTTTTGGATGACTATTTTGAATTTTCTTTTCAAAAAATGCTTTTATGAGAAGAAGAGGATACTCAACAAAGATTGATGAGATATTTCGATATGTTTTGTAATGAAGATTGTGAGAATACAATTGACTTTAGTGATCTTAGCACCCTAAATAAAAATAGATATTTTTTATTTTTATCGTCATATTAGTAAAACTAAAGTTAAAAGAGGTTTTAAAGAAAATGAAGTGTGAAAAAGCTGTTAGACCGGGTGATATTCTAATACCAGTGTGAAAATGCTTAGGAGATGAAGAAATTTCTTGGCTTATAAAAATTTCCAATATTATTTTGAAGATTACTAATATGTCAAATGATTGGAGTGTGTTGATTTCTTTTTTAAAGAATAAAGGTGATGCAAAAGAGTGTGAATTATAGACGAATTAAGTTAATGTGTCATTAATTAAAAATTATGGGAAGATTTATTAAGCATAGGTTGCGTCGTGATACTAATGTTTCTCAAAATCAAATTGGATTCATGCCGGATAGGTCTTCTATGGAAGTTATACATTTATTGAGAGTTTTGATGGAGAAGTGTAGTGAGAATAAGGAGGATCTACATATGATATTTTATTGATTTAATGAAAGCATATGGTAAAGTTCATAGAGAAGTGCTCTGGAATATTCTAGAAAAGAAAGGAGTTAATAATGGTTATTAATCAAATCATTAAGGATATGTATGCATGAGATGTTTCTTGTGTTTAACACAAGGTAGGATCAAGTATTTTTCTATTTCAGTTGGATTACACGAAAGATCAGTTTTAGGTCAATATCTATTTTGCTTTAGTCATGAATGTTCTTACTAGACATTTGCAAGAGGATATACCCTAGTGTATGTTTTTTGCTGATGGTATTCTTCTTGTTGATAAGACTAGAGAGGGTGTTGAAGGAAAATTTGAATTATGGAGGTCAACCTTAGAGTCTAAAGGTTTTCATTTGCGTAGATCTAAAACTGAATACATGGAGTTTAATTTTACAGCTAATAGATCTATTGGTGGGATTGTGACTTTGGGCGATCAAGTCATTAATAAGAGGTACATGTTTTAGTTCTCTCGGGTCTATTATCCAAAATGATGGTGAAATTGATGCGGATATTATTAGTAGAATTCATGTTGGATGATTGAAATGTAGGAATACATCAGGCATGTTGTGTGATAAAAAGTGCCCCTCGAACTCAATGGAAAATTCTATAAGTTGGTGGTGGGACTTGCAATCCTTTATGGCGTAGAATGTTGGCCATTAAAAGAGAAGCATAACATTTAGTTAAGTGTTGCAGAGATGAGGATGCTGAGGTGGATGAGTGGTTTCACTCTTAGAGATAAAATGTGAAATGAGTATATATATGAAAAGGTTGAAGTAACTATAGTGGCATAGAAGATTAGAGAGAGTCGCCTTAAATGGTTTGGACACTGAAAATGTCGGCCTTCTGGCTTCTATTAGGAAAGTTGATGTATTAGATTTGTTTTTTGTTATGAAAGGTAGAGACAGACCTAAAAAGACTTGGTTAAAAAATATTAGAGATAACCTTTTTTTGTTAGATATAAATGAGAGTTTGACTCCTAATTGGACACAATGGAGAAGAATGATTCGTGTAGCTGACCGCACGTAGTTGCATAAAAGCTTAATGTTATTGTTATATTGTTGTATATGTTAACTTTTTAAGAACGTGATTCTTTAATTTTTTTCATTGATTTTGAGTAGATATTTTATAGATATAAGAGATGAAAGGAGATAAAAATTCATATGCACCATCAATTTTTAGCCATGCAAATTAGGATAATACTCAATTAGGTTTAAAAAATGAGTCATTTTGGCATATAAATAAGTGGAAGATAAGATTAGAGAGAGTCGCCTTTGATGGTTTGGTCACATTAAACAGAGGCCTTCCGATGACCCGATTAGGAAAATTGAGGTATTAGATTTGGCTTATGTTAAGAAAGGTAGAGGTAGACCTAAAAAGACTTGGTTATAAAATATTAGAAATGATCCTTCTTTATTAGATTTAGATGAGAATTTGACTTTTAACCGGACACAATGGAGAAAAAGGATTCATGTAGCTGATCCCACGTAGTGGGACAAAGGCTTGATGTTGTTGTTGTTGTTGTTGTATAATTTAAGAATTTTAAATATATAATATTTGGCATGATACATAAAACTACATGTAAACAAATTAATTAATTCAATTGAATAAAAAATAAATTCAAAATTTCTTTAAGAAAATTCATAGTTATATCTGATTAAATTATAATTAACATATAATCATTTTTAGCAAATTGAATGGATTAAATGGGACATTTTGGATCAAATAAAATTGTTAAAATAAATAATTTATAATTAAGTAATATTTAATGATAAATAGTTTCATAACATATATGTCTTAAGTAAATAATAGTCAATTAGTTAACTAATGATAGTTAGCATAAAATTAGTATTGATACGTCTACAAAATTTCATATCATCGACATAAATCTTATGGCAATATTTGAATTTGAAACTTCCAAAATTTGAATTCATGATCATCAAAAATTTGATTTTAGTGAATGTATAGTTGAATTGAATTTCTTGACAAGACAAACCCATCAATATCACAAATGATTCATTCCAACTCCAAATGCTTCAATCAAGCACATAAAAATATTTAAATTTTTCTAAATATTAATTGATGAACCAAACAATCTTCATATATTGTGTGCTTATAGTCAATTTGAGTAGCTCGAAGAGGCAAATGTAATTAGCCTATGGACATTTGATTTTGACATCATTTAGGGATTCAAAGATTTGATAAATAATCTTACGATCAAGAGGATTAATATGAATCATATGGAGTGTTTTGGCTTTTGGTCAAAAATACCCCTCTAAAAAAGGCTATAAAGAGGTTCTCATTCTGTATGTGGTAGGGAAGTTAAAGAGTTAAGAGAGTTAAAGAACTCTATAACAATTTTCAGCGTTCACTAGTCGACGACAACCATATCAGCAATCCCTGCCACCATTGCCAAAATTCTAGTATACTATTGTCATTTGACCATTAACGTGTAACTTTGTCATAGGGTTTTAATTATCCACTTGTGGGTGCTTGATTTCTATTCTCCCAACAATGTGAATTAGATAATTGTATGCAACCATTCTTGAGTTTTAAAGTAAAATATTCTAGTCTCTTACAACTTTTTTTTGTGTGCTAGAGTTTGTTCAATGGTAAGATATTAAGTATATATATTTTACCATTGCAAATTTTCTAACACATTACTAGAGAAGGAGTCGAAGGTAAATTTGAATTATGGAGGTCAACCTTAGAGTCCAAAGGCTTTCATTTGAGTAGATCTAAAATTGAACATATGAAGTGTAATTTTAGTAATAATAGTTCTAGTGGGGGGATTGTGACTTTGGGTGATCAAGTCATTAATAAGAGTACAAGTTTTAGATAACTTGGGTCTATTGTTCAGAGTGATGGTGAAATACATGGGGATATTATTAGTAGAATTAAAGTTGGATGGTTGAAGTGGAAGAATGCATCAGGCTTGTTGTTTGATAGAAAAGTCCCCCTCAAACTTAAGGGAAAGTTCTATAGGATGGTGGTTAGACTTGCAACGCTTTATGATGCAGAATGTTGGTCATTAAAAGAGAAGCATAATATTAAGTGTTGCTGAGATAATGATGCTCAGGTAGATGAGTGGCTTTACTCTTAGAAACATGATACAAAATGAGCAAATACGTGAAAAGGTTGAAGTAGCTCTTATGGAAGATAAGATTAGAGAGTCGCCTTAGATGGTTTGATCACATAAAACGGCGGCCTTCTGATGACCCGGTTAAGAAGTAAATGTATTAGATTTGACTTATGTTAAGAAAGGTAGAGGTAGACCTAAAATAACTTGGTTAAAAATATTAGAAATGACCTTTCGTTATTAGATTTAAAAGAGAATTTAACTTTTAACAAGGACAAATGGAGAAAAATGATTCATGTAGCTTACCCCACATAGTGGGATAAAGGCTTGATGATGATGTCGTTGTTGTTGTTACTAGAACAATTAGTAAATCTAATGGAATAGTTTGAAAATTATGAAGACATAAGTTTTGTTTTGTTACAAAAAGAAGTTAAAGTATATACATAATCTAGTTTTGTAATTAATAAAATAAATAATGCATGAATACTTGGTTAGCAAAAAACTAATATAAATATGAAATCAAATTAAATAAATTATTAAAAAATCATATAAAGATATAATATAACTTAATAACGATACAAATTTAATTATAAATACTTATAGGTAAAAATGAAACATAATCAATTTAAAATGAAAAATATCCAAAACATACTCTATTCTAAACAACCTTAGATCTACTTGTAAACGAGTTAAGCCGAGCTCAAATCACTTCTAACTCAAGTTTGACTATCCAAATTTTAGTATAGGATCTAAATCGAGCTCAAGCTCTTTTGTGGTGCTCAAAACCCAACTCGTTAGAATAAATGTAATCTCGAGCTCCTCGCTTCTAGGTAAAAATGAAAAATATCCAAAACATACTCTATTCTAAACAACCTTAGATCTACATGTAAACGAGTTAAGCCGAGCTCAAGTCACTTCTAACTCAAGTTTGACCGATCCAAAGTTTAGTATAGGATCTAAATCGAGCTCAAGCTCTTTTGTGGTGCTCAAAACCCAACAACTCGTTAGAATAAATGTAATCTCGAGCTCCTCGAGAAGGCATCAATGGCATGGCAGTTTGTTGGAGAAGGCATTGTAATACGAGTTTGTCGGAGAATGCATCAACGACAATGTTGTGACGGGAGCGCGCTATAAAAGGCATGATGGCATGATATGAGCTTTGCTAGAGAAGCATCGATGACATGTTATCTTATTAGAGAACGCATTGCAATGTCATCTTGTTGGTGAGGACATCAAAGAGGGTAAATACAATGGGAGCTCGTTGCAAAGCCATCAATGATGGGAACGGGATCTTCCTAGAGAAACTTTTTTGAGGCTAGTGGCATGCTAGTGAAATGGTACCATATTTACTCTTTTAGGATATAATAATGCGTCAATATTCTGGTTTTGTACTGCTTTTCAAGCTTAAATTCTGTTGGAAAATTTCCTGTGCTTTTAGTAATCGTATATGTGTTTGATTTCTGCAGGTTGATTATTAATGATTAGGCAAAGCAGCAGGCCAGCTATAGTGGCAATTTGCCTGTCAAAACATATTGAAAGTCAGCATAAATGTATCCTATTGTATCAAGCTATTTTTCATTGTCATTTGTAATTTCGGTTTATTTTTCAATAATTTTTAATCTTAGTGATTTTGGATTGGAAAAATAGCAAGTGAATGTTATTTGCCAAATTTATTTCTTCTATTAAATCTTCCTTAATTACACAATCATAGTAGGATTATAAGTGGAAATGCATTTGTTTAATATTTAAATTTGAAAAAAAATGTCTAATCAGAACTAGCTGCTTGTGGGCAAAGTGTTTTGGGGCAATCATAATGCTGGTTAATTTATTCTCTTTTTTTTTTAATTTATTATATATATATATATATATATATATATATATATATCTGTGCTTTTGACGCGTTTAATTTAAAGTAATATTTTATTAATATTCAGACCTATCTCCGTGTCCGGTGATTGGATGCAATAATTTGTCATAATACAGGCAGGCTTAAAACCGAATTAAATTGTGCACATAAATAATTATGGTAATTAAAAAATGATTAAACTTAATTTAGATTTCATATAAAACTTCATGTCTACTAGTCATTGTGAAATTATTTTAATTAATTAAAAAATAATAATTATTTTGGGCCTAATTTTCATAATTGCGCATCAGATAAATCTTAATGATGTAAACATATACTAATTAACTGAAAATTAATTTTAATTAGCAATTATATAAGTAAACTAGCTAATAAAAATCAACTAAGAATATTAAAAAAGGAGAAATTTCTTCATTGTTACAGTATTTATAAGTAATAAATGAAAAAAAAATTCAGATAAAGCCAATACTAGCGGAATTACTTAAACATAGAGAGTTTAATAAGTGCAGGCTCCCTGTTCTCATTCTTATTAAGATTTAGTTTAGTTTGAGACAATTTTTTTAATGCTTCTTAAAATAATTTTTTAATACAAAATTTTAAAATTTAATATAAAAAAATTGCTTTAAACAATAAAAAAGTCGTCCCAAATAAAATCTAAACCTCAAGAAAAAAAAAACGCTACAAAAAATAATTTACATGTGAGTGTTCAATTACAACAACCTTATACTCAACACTTAACAAAATATACAAATTTGATTACAAACATAACATGATCTGCAACATTTCTGCATGATATTTACATTAGAACTGATTTCAGGAGTTGACAGAGTTCCAGAATTGATAAGCTTTGTGTGCTTGGAATAATCTTCAGACTTCACTGTAGGTTCTTCATGAGATGGCTTCAGCATCACATACTTTGCTGATGAAATTAAGGACTGCTTTACATTTTAGGCAACATATTCAGTTGAAGACTTGTAGATCTCATTCGCATGTGCAATCGGCACGTAAATTACGTCGGTTAATGAGCTATTCGATCGCCCATAGAATAGGTATACGAAAACACCAATCGCCAACCAGATCGAAACACGCATCCATGTCGAAGAACTTACGAGGATGAAATAATGGAAATGTTAGTAAATAAATGATTTCATTTATTGTTTGGAATAATAACATGATGAATAATATTAAGCTATAGGCTTTGTTTGGGATGGCTTTCTTCTAGCTTTTTAGAACAGCTTTTTAGTACAAAATTTTTTTGAATTTGAAAATTTTATACTATAAAACCGTTTTAAAAAGCAGTGCAATAGCTGTTCGAAACGAAACTATAGTTCTGGAACTAGAGAGCATAATCAGTTGTGAGGAAGGAACTCACCCTAGATTTATAAGCAAGTATGAATTTATAAGAATGCACAAGACAGGGAGAAAAGGAACCAAGGGACAAATGAAACCTGTAGAAGAGTTGGGAAAGTCAAAATGCAAGTGAGAAAATGGATTCACAAGTTTGAAAATGGATGATGAAACTGTTTTTTTGTTACCTCCTGAATGTCCAAAGCTATGGCGGCCATTATCCTGGTCAATCCAGGAGAGTAAGGCCAGGCCAACCAGGAAGAGCAAACCTCCCAAAGAACATATTATATAGCGCAAGTATCTAAAAAATAATAATAATAAACAAATGAAAATCAGATCAATGCTCTTTTTGAGTTTTAATATAAGTTTCTGGTCATGCTAGGTCAGGTTCAGATCAAATCAAAAATAATAATATTAACTATTTAGCTTATATATATATATATATCTTCAATTGTCTACTATGCCCATTTTAGGCTAGGTTTACAATTCGAGTGTTTTTGGTGTTAGGTAAGGTCAGGTTCAAGTTGAGTCGAGTCAAGTTTAAGTTTAGATTTATTTTAGTCATTTAATAAACATGTGAGTCCTTTTTTTTTTTTTGAACGGGGGTATCTACTCGCTGCTACTCTAAAGAGAGCGCTTGGCGGTATAACTAATTCATGAGCAGAACCTAACGAGCCACCTACCGGCATCGGGCCCATACTTGCATTGCCCCACTAAAGAAGCGAGGCTGTAGTAGAGGGGATTCGAACTCGGGATGGGGGTTCCCAACCGTGCTCGCCCACCAACCACCCTAAGCCTTGGTAGGTAACAGGTGAGTCGAAATTAGATTGATTATATTTGGGTCAAATAGTTTTTGGATTGAATGAGAATCCAATCCATTAACATGATTTGATACCCTACTTATTATGATTACCTTTGCCAGAATTAGTCGGATCACTTTCTTATTTTATTATAAGTTTTAGAAAGGAAAATATTCACATCAAAACTCACTCGGGAAATGAGAATGCAGAGGCTGATGATGTAAGAATAAGAACTCCAATGCATACAAATGCTATACTCCAAGCAGCATATTTGCGCCTCTTTTGTTCATGTACTTTGTCTGAACCATTCATAAAAGAAAAACAAAAAGATATAATATATATTATCAAAACCTGCAATGAAATTTTCAGAATGGTAACAGAAGAAAAAAAGAAAAAGAAAAAGAAAAAGAGAAGTTGACTATGAAAGATATCTGCAGCCATTACCTTCATCAGTGTTCTTAATGATAAGAGGAAAATCTTTTGAGGTTCCATCTTGCCCACTTTGTTTGTTTCTCTTATCACTTATTCCAACAGGACCTTTTGGAACCTCCTCTTGAAAAGATAATGACTCAATTGATTCTTGGAAAGATGATGGAAGTGGCATCTCATTTGGTGGAACATATCTAAGTATCAAAATTGAAATTGCAACCATGGTGAAGGCAAGTAGTGTTCCAACACTAACCTTCATATATCATCACAAAACAAATTCAGTATAAAATTCTAATTTTCATAGAAAAAATCTATGGTTTCATGAAAGAATCATACCATTCCAGCTAGCTGGGAAACATCCATAAAAAAAGCAAGAACAGCTGAACCAACCCCAGTGACAATGGTGCTCTTGACAGGAACTTGGGTTCTTTCATTAACATCTGAAAAGAACGATGGTAATAATCCATCTCTCGCCATTGCCATGAGTATTCTTGGCTGAAATAGAGACAAAAACAAGAAGAAATAAAAAGAACTTTTCAGCTCTAAATCTTGTTTTTGCTCAGCACGGCAAGCTAATAGATTCCACTGTTTGTAGAAATTAACCAATGTTTAGCATTTAGAAGACAGAAAAGTGTATGATAGGCAACAATAGGGAAAAAATCAGAATTTCAGCGTTTTTGTTAAGAAGATTTTTAGGTTTTTATGAAAGAAAACACAGAGAAAATACTATTAATTGCTAGAAGACGAAAGAAAATAACATGATACAAGTGATCCTTTATTCGAGAGGAGGATCTATCCCTCCAAAATCTCTAAACACCGCTAGAGCCCAAGACGCCAACCACCAAACAGAAAATTCAGCAATATTCCAGATGCCCTAACCCTAAACCAAAACTCCTATTTAAAGAAAAACATTAAAAAAGCTCGAAAGGACTAAACAGCCCCCCTTATTCCCTAGGCAGTGGACCCAACCCCCAAATGGGCAGAAATTTGAGCCTGCGGCACGACATGCTTCCGCTAGCTGTATTGATGACTCGGCCCAAGGGCGGGGCCGGCTAGACCGGTCTAAGCGTTTAAGTGTACTTAGATAATGAAATTTAGAAAACAGAATCAGAAAGCCAACTTCCCATGGGGGAGAAAATCTATTTATTGTTAAACTCTTTAAAAACAATCAGCCTACCTATTAGTACATCAAGGGGTAAAAGCAGTCTCTTTGTACCATGCTTTCTTTGCATTGAAAACCACACAAGTCTAAAATATGAAAGAAAAGAAAAATAAACTTGAATGCATATATAAAAGATTAATTAGAGAGAAAAGCTTTTGTTGTCTCATACATGTGACTACAAATAGGCAAATAGGAAAAACAAAAGGAAGATAATAAAGAAGAACATGTCATCAATTATGAGTTGAAGCAGATTAAAAAGCTTCATCTTTCCAATTTGATTACTTTCTTCTGATCATAATATGAAAAAGTTATAATGCTATAGAATAGATTCAAGACATGCACATATTGGCTATGCAAGCATATATGGCAATCAGCTCAAGCTGCTAGCCCTGCATCAGTGTGAAATAAATGTTGTCAATTTGTCCGTTATGTTGGACCAAATAACAAGCAAGAGCTTGAGAAATATACCCTGCAAAACAGACGATCAATACAAAATAGGTGAAGCATTTTAATTTTCTCTGGCATTCGGGTTACAAGATACATGCACCTTGACGGTCACTTAAAAATATTGCTAGAGCTGTGTAAAGCTTTATAATAGGACTAAAAATTGCTACCTAAAAGAAAAGATTGCCTAGAATCATCTTACTTCAATTGAGGGTTAGGCTTCGCTTGAGACGCTTTTTTACTACTTTTTAGCATAAAATTTTTAATTTTTAAACTAGAAAACTGTTTTAAGAAGCAATAAAAAAATCGTCCTAAACGAAGCCTAAGTTTTACTAATTATGATAATTGATCATGATCATATATAATAGAATGTACTAGCATAAGTAAATTAAAAAGTTTTCACTAAAATCATTCTCTCACTCAAGAAGCTTTTCATTCATGAAGGTTCTCCTGTTCCATATTAGAACTGCACATATAACAAGTGGCAAAACGAAAGATACCTGCGGAAGAATTGATCCCATCAAAGTCGAGCAAAGAGCAAGTACAGCACCCGCAGTGACGACATACCTAAGGTTGAAAGAAATATAAAACCAAATGTAGGAACTAAAAAATTGATGCAATTTAGGCTTTGTTTGGGACGACTTTCTTTATACTTCTTAAAGCAGCTTTTTTAGTATAAAAACTTTAATTTTTGTGCTAGAAAGCTGCTTTCTGAAGCAGTAAGAAAGCCATCCCAAACAAAGCCTTAATATGCTCTGCTTTAAAAAAATTTCTAACAATTACATGGCCCAATGCATCCCATGTCTGGCAAATGCAGATGAAATTGGAGTGTCCGGATCCATGGCAAAATATGGCACTAGGCCAATGACAACAACCGATACCATCATATACAAGAAACAACATATTGATAGAGCTGTTGCAATCCCCAATGGTAAGTCACGCTGCGGATTTTTCACCTGCATGTGTAGAAATAAACCAAGCATATGGAAAATGAGGCAAAAATTTTAACAGATTAAGGAAATAAAAAATACATCAAAATAACATATTAGTCATGTAAGATTTTCCCCCATTACTAAAAACAGCTTAACAAAAATGAACAATTATTCCATAAGTGTTATACCTCCTCAGCTGTGCTTGCAACTGAATCAAAACCTATATATGCAAAGAAAACTGTAGCTGAACCGGCAAGCATGCCATTCACTCCATAGGGAAAGAATCTACAAGTTGATTTAAAGCACAAAACAGGGTGAGTGAATAAGCTGCAAAAATGCTGAAATTGATGATAAGGCGAAATTTGAAATCCCGTTTTACCCGCTCGCAACACTATATCCAACCCATCCATCCTTGAATCCAACGTATCCACCAGCTATGATGACAAAAAGCATAACACATACATTCAATGAAGTAATGATAGCTTGTACAAATGTGCTCTGCAAAAATAGTCATTAATATTACATTAAGTTGCAATTACTCATAGACGCAATCGTCAAGCAATAAAGAAATTACAAAATACCTCTTTAATTCCCACACAAAGAAGACCAGTAACAATCAGAACAAGAACTGCAGCGCATGGATCAACAACCACGTCAAGCCACGGTATGTAAACTCTTGCCAGAAAATAAGGCAAACTATCCGGTCCTCCAAAAAATAAGGCCTAATATAAAATATAATTGTTCTTAAGGGTGATCTATAAATGATTTGTCTCAAAAAGACATTCAAAATTTAGAAATCCAAGAAATATAGTAAGATGTAATATCTAGGGAAGAAAATAACGTCTATGTTATTTTTTGGATTAATGTAATGTTATGCATAATGTAATCAATTAACTTGTTCACAAAATTCTGTGATCAATTCACCAGAAGAAAAGGTTATACAGATATGACGTCTCCAAAGTAAATATTAATCTTAGAGCATCTCCAACCGAAAAATCCATTTTTCACTCCAAAATGCAGTGAAACTCAAAAATGTCGTGATTCATCTCCAATTGAACTCCATTTTGAGTGCCTTCTGCGAAGTTAACTGTCTTTCTCATCTTTCGCGCGTTTCTTCGGCAAATCCGGTTGAGACAAAAAAATTGTATAGGTGAACAGTGCAACGCCAATATTGGTGTAGCACTATTCACCCGCAAACAAATAGCGAAAGATTTGACGTTCGGCTGGAGCGACCGAACGATGCCATACATATGTTTGGCGTTCGGTTGGAGATGCTCTTATGGAAGTAGCTGACAAATTGCAGCAACATAATACTGTCTTGCTTGATTCCAAGCTTGCAACCATACAGTAGCCTATCAAATAGTTCGTGGACTAAAATTTGTGAGTATAAAAGTCATTTTTTTATCTGTAGCAGGCTTATAACAGTGGCTAGAAAATAGAACAAAAAAGAGGATTAAAGGTATCAGGCTTTGAGCCAAGAAGGCCAGTTGTGCAACATAGAAAGGATATCCCCAATCAGAAAGGTTGATTCTGTAGTCTATTTGGTTTGCAATCATTCAAGGAGAAAACCATGGATACATTTTTACAGAAAGAAATTGGTGATGTCATTTAAGAAGCAGTAAAATGCCATAAAGCTCGATATAATGACGTTTTACAATACCAAATTTGGAGATATGCCACGTGCAACAGCTGAACCACCTATAGTATATTCAAGGATTAGAGCCCAACCAATCAGCCATGCAACTCTGGTGCAAAAAAAAAAGTATTAAAATCCTCTAAAGAACACACTTTTAGTATCAACTTTAGGAATGATGAGTTGGCATCAATAAAAATATGTCAAAGGAAGATAATTCAAACTCAAGTTCTGTAAGAGAAAGGTGATATTACCCCTCTCCAACACAAATGTATGAATAGTGATAGGCACTTCCAGCAGAAGGGCAACGACTTGCAAGCTCTGCATAACAAAATGCTGATAGTGCAGCAGCTACTCCAGCAATCAGGAAGGAAATGACCAAAGATGGACCAGCGTGCTCCCTAGCAACAGTTCCAACTAGAACATAGACACCTGCACCTATCGTTGAACCAACACCTGGAAACATAAATAATAGATTATGAGAGGAATATTAAAAGCATTCAAATCAAAAATAGCATTGCCTGGGAAGGTAGGTATACTGAGGAAATCTGGAAATATATAAAAGAATTTGTAGCCAAGGTAAAGCACTTTTAAGAATCAAAAGCAGCAAAATCAAGTAAAACACAATATAAGGTGCAGATACAGTCACAACCAACCACTCAAGGGAGATTCCAAAAAAAAAAAAAAAACAGAAGCCAAAAAACACAAAACATATCAATATCTTTGAACCATAGAGGAAAGTGAAACCAATTTTAATTAGTTTCATGTAATGAAGCTATCATATACTCACTAGAACAAAATAAAAAATGGGGGCACATGCCCCCACTTCGAAAATTACAATTACCATATTAATCTTCTGCGTCGGAGGAATTATTCTGTATGGAGTCTGGACGCAGAGTTGCATTTGGATATATGAGTGCATACAATGTGCATACATTATGTACACACTGTGTACACAAATAAAAGTACACAGTGTACTTTTACTTTTGTACACAGTGTACACAATATTTACACTTACATGTCGGGATGTAACTCTGCCTCCAGACTCTGTACAAAATAATTTCTCTCTGTGTCGTGCTTTTATTGAATAGCCAAAATTAGGCGTGCCTCAATTGCTCCTTGTCTTTCTTCTACCATTCTCCGCAACTCTGCTTGACGTTCAAGCTCTTCTACAGAAAGAACGATCTCTTCTACCAAAAACAACGAGCTGCATCTAGCCTCCTCCAATCCTCAGCATCTCTGCTCGACCTCAAGTCGCCCCTGTCTTTGCAAAAGAACTCTCTAGTCTCAACCTCTTCTTTTCTAGCGTTGCCGGCAAACAATCGCCATATTGGGCTCAGTTGTAGGTATGTGTTGGCTGAACTGTTGAAGTGTTAATATTAATTATTTTTTAGTTGAGATCAGTTAATCTCATTTCATTTTTGTGTCAGTTTGAGTTGAGACAAATTTTGATTTGTGAATGTTCTGAGAAAGATAATACACTAATTTGAAATGAAGATATCTGAAGATAGCACCCAAGACGTTTGCCATAATATGTCTCAACAGAAAAAGTACAGATTCATATCAATAATATGGAGAAAGCAAAGTCTGATGTTAATTTGCCTGCTTCTAAAATTAATCAACTGCCAAATTCTGTATGGAATAAACCTAAATATATCAGTCTACATGATATTAAAGCATCCAATTTAGATGGTGGAAATATTGGTCCTGTTGCTCTTAATCAGGAAGCTGTTTTAGAAAATATGGGCAAGTTAAATCTTGCTTTGGTAGGAGTTTAAAAATCATATTAAAAAATTGACTATAAAATAGAATTAGAAATCAGTGAATGAATGATACTTTAATAGCTTATACTAAAAAAATAAATATTTGATTATATTGATAATGAATTTATTATTCAACTCTTTTAGAATATGAAGATCAGATGTTATAAATTATAAGTATTTTTATTCTTATATTTAATATTTTATATTTTTAAACTAATAAATTTAACAAAAAAATTAAGATTGTCAATGTCGGTCACAAGCCTCGATAAAAAAGGTTGAGGGAAGTTTTTTAAAAAAGAAATTTCTGATTCCGCCTCTGTTCACACCCAATTATATTCAAAAGTAATCTATGGGCAATGATCAAACATTTGATATTTCTCCACCAACATATTTATTACCTGTCCACTGTGAACTGAACTCACTACTCTCTTATATATGTCTTAAAACGTAGCTAAGAGCTTATATTTGATTATTAGATGCCTTGAATGCAAAATCAAAGCATTTTGATCATTTATCAAAAATAGATTTAGAAACCTATAGATTTGCAAGTTTTTTAAAGAACCAATGACTTATGTGATGTCTAAAATAGAAAGCAACAAAATTATTTAAACATCTACTGGCAGCAAACCTAGAACCTGCATCTCAGAAAAAAAAAACTTGTTTCTTGAATAAAAAGTGGTTAAATGCAACCCTCCCTCTATATGACACCAACTAAGATAAACAACACCTCTAATTACTTGAACTACTTTTTGACCTTCGTTTCTACACCAGGTCGTATGATGGATAAGAATGGGCAGTGTCTTGCAACCATTGATTTCTTATTTTCTATCACAGCATGTGGTCTTAGCGTTTGAATATTAGATGAGAATAAGATCTTGAGTTTGGTAGCCACCAAACTGAAAAGAATTTCATGGATTCAAAATGAATTTGAAATTAAAATTGTAAAAGAGGAAAAAAAAAACAAAAAAAATGGAGTTCCACGCATCATAAAATATAAATTGGTGATTAATTTCTAGCATGAGGGGAAAAAGTCCAAAATAGTCTATTCGAATGCAGCTAATTTAGTCCCAAAGTATCATATTTTCCAATATAATTCCTTGACTATTCAAAATAGTTCTCAAATGATCCCTCATAGAATAAATAAGGATTAATTTTGTATGGTCGAGAAACTAAATTGGGATCAATTTTATATTCCAGTTTCTATCAACTTTCACATAAGAGATCATCTGATATCAATCTTGAATAGTTGAGTGACTAACTAGAACAACCATATAGAAATGGTCGGAAGATTAATTTGATCTTTTTCTCATTCCTAGTATGTTAGCTTAAGAGAGAGAATCATCTTTGTTTGACTACCCTTGATGGATGAAAGTGGGGGTGGGGAGTTGTGGAATCTTAGGGAGATGTCATACTCTTTTGCTTAGGGTTGGATTATGGTGGTAATGAGGAGAATTTTGAGTAGGGAGGTGAGGGTTAGAGTTGCACTTTGTGGGGCTATTGCAAAAGATTAAGAGGTGAAGATGGGATTAAGATTATTTGGTGGTAGGCTTGTGGAGGGTTAGGTTGAGAAAGTTGAAGACATATTTGGATTTTATGAAGGCTAAGAGGTTGATGGGAGTGAAATGGTTATGCGAGTGGTCATACACAAACCTTATCTCTGAATTGATGGTGGCTATGCTTTGTTGGTTGAGTCCAATACGACAAGTAGGTTTAGCTCAATTCACATGTTCTATAATCGCTCTTATTTTGCACATCACCAAATCTCACAATAGTAAAAGTTCATCATTTGCAAGATAATCTTACTAAAGTGTCTTATAGAATAATTAGTTATAAATATTATATGCGTAGCAAAAAGAAATATGTAATGAGTCCAAGATCTACGACTCTATAAGATTATCTAAGGACAAATGCATTATATATATATTCAGTTATTCACTTAAAGTAATCACATATTCCACGATTTGATTCAAAATTTGCTCACCAATCCTCTATTGAAAGTATCGTATCATGTGGACATCCTAGCCACATCTTTAGCATACACCGTTACGATATTTTAATTGACTCACTATTAAGATTTGGATCAATCTCCTTTGTTTCATCTTCATTCACTTCTTCCTCTGCTCTTAAGATTCAGAGTAGCAAGAGAAGATGCTTCACCTAATTCTATATGCAATCACCTAAGATAAGATTACAAATATCATGAAGCTTCAATTTCATAAGCATGCATAAGAATCTAACAAATGCCACAGTTCTAACCCAACTTTCTGGTATTGATGATTACAAGCTCAATTCACAAACTTCATCATCGAAGTTAATACAAACCAAGCTTAACTTGTGATCAAAGTGAACAAAAAAATGCACGCCATTGCATAGGCACCTTCAGTTATGCTGAGATTGAAATTTTCACATTAGATACACCGTGTTCATTGTCGAGGGCTTCTCGTTTATGTCTAATAGAGCTTTTATCATGCTATTTATGGTCCTCTCGCACAATGTGTTTATTATAATATTTTTTTTCAATGATGGGCATACAACTCACAATGCCTACCTGTTTAGGCATTCCGATCATATTTGCTTATACTTTTCATCTTGACTCAAAAAGAGATATATGTAACTTCTTTGGCATATGTAATCATCGATTTGCATCTTCCAATACTCGAAGTCCTTGCCATCGAATATGTTGTTCATCAAATTCTCATTTTCGTACACCATTTCTCTCACTTTTCTCATAAACTAGAAAGTTACTCCATATCTGATACCATTTGTTTGGAAAAAGTAAGCACCTGAGAGCAATAATAATCATGAGGTTGGAAAAAATAATCTACAAGGATACACCACAAAGAACAAAACAAGGTTTACATAGTTTGGTGTGATCCACTTACATCCACGACTGCATAAAGAGTTAAATGTCCGTTAATCCAAACAAAAATAGGATATAAGATTTACTCTGAAATAATTTTGTCAATTTTATCTCACTAGTACTCTCTCTGATTTCCTCTCCAAACCCAAGCACAAATCTTCCACTTGCTATGTTCATTGAAGATTAAGGAAAGTATATTGCCTTCTATGTCAAACCACCTCACTAATTAACAACCTTTGTGGCAGTTGTTGATTTCCTCCTGATAAGTTTTCGGATTTTTGTCATCTTTGTCTCTTTGGTGGCCTTTGCTGAACACCCAACAAAGAAATCACTCTATATGATAAAAAACATTACTACCAACCTCTAATCACTCTACTACCCACCTCTCAGACCTGCACCTTTACACCAAGTTGAATGAAAGAGAAGAATGAGTGATGTTTAGCAATGACTAATTTTTTACCTTTTTTAGAGCAATAGATGGCCATAGATATGAAGAATTATATGAATAGAATCTTGAGTTTTATAGCCATCAAATTTGAAAATCAAAATCAGATTTGGTCCAAATCTTCTCCAAGATTTTTATGAATTTAAAATAACTTTGAAATCAAATTTGCATTAGAGAAATAGAAGAAAATTGAGCTCCACACATCTTTAACACCATATTGGATAAATCAAATCCAAAAGACACAAGTATCCCCTTCTATTCATTTCAATCCTAGTATCTGTCAATTTCCTGTATTGTAAAGAGATGTTATTGAATAAGATGACCTTTGCATTTTTTATTTTAATCTTTTGAAATATGAAAAAGTCAATAAAGATGATGTTAAGCTTTTATCATTCTAGCGTCGAGTTTATTTTCCGCCGGACACCCCCCTATAGTATCGTCATCGCAGTAAAGTTTAACCATCAAGTTCGGGATGGATTGGTGTGGTTCCTCTAGGCCTAGGACACCAGAATATCGAATCATGAACGAAAAAAAGGCATGAGAGAAATATTGTCTAGTGATTGTGAGGCCCTGATTCTTGACTGAAAGGACGCCAAGGCCTCTGCCCTCCCCGTAATTCCCAAAGTTGGAATCAAAATCTAGCTGATGTCCTACATGTTTAAAACATCTGATGAACCATTAAAACATAAACACCAGTATAACAATTATCTCAAAATCCTCAAAGCACCATTCCACGTCAAAAGAAACTGAAAACAGCAACACCAACTTCCAGATAAACTGCTTCACAAAATCACCGAAACAGAAAAACCCCATAATGAAGCCTAGATCAACTGGACAAAATACCATAAATCTAATCTCAATAAAAAAACCACTCATGACATGTAAAAACAAAACAAAATCCTGTAATTCAAATTCCTGAACAATCGTCAACAAAAAAAATAAAAAAAGGTTGCTGCAGTAGAATTTACATCTAATTCACAACGCATCAACCAAGCAGCAAGATCACAGAAAAAGATTCGAAATTTCCAAAACCTATTGCAACGAGCTGGAGAACAGAGAGTTCTTTAGCGAGCTGGTGACCTCCCTCCTGCGTCTTCACCCGATCGGAATCCACCTGCTTCCTCCTCAACAAGCTCCGAATCCCCCATCGTCGCTCCTTCCCGTTCCCCAATTCCTCAAACCCCATTTCACAGAGAGAAGACCTCTACTGTGTATTCCGTGCAAGAAAAACCAACGAGAAAACGTCTTTCTTCCAGGAACAGCAATCTCTCCTGCTCTGAAGGCAGGGGGCGGCGGACAAGAAAATTCAACGGGAGGAACAAAATTTGCCTTATTTAATTTTGAAAAATTTGTAGAAATTATTAGACGCCATAAGCCAAGCACATTGCTTTCGACTCATCGTGCAATTACTGTACACAGCTCTGTACTTTAATATTACAATGGTAAACAAAAACAAAATTTTTTTCAAGATATTTATATGCATATCAACTTATATCATATTATTTTTATATCTAATATTTAAAATTTTAATATTTTGCGTCTACCGCTCATAAATTAAATATATATGCAATAAATAAAATGTTAAAGTTTATAATGTAATATGAGTGATAAGAATGAAATAAATAAGTGATATATTTGATATTAAAGTTGTTTATGAACGAAATGGTCGCCAACGCTGGATATCGGAGTTGAGTCTCCGATAATTCCGATATGGATTTCGTTCCCTCGGCTTCGCCTCCATTTTTTCTCTCCTCGTATTCTTTTTGGGTTGGCTGAGATTTTTGGTAAACCTTTAAAAATCGACGAAGCAACTTCTGTGGGTTCTCGTCCATCTAATGCGAGGGTTCTAGTTGAACTTGATATTACTAAATCCTACCCTAAGAAAGTTTGGCTTGGTTCAGTTAACTTGGGTTATGTTCAAGAGGTCATTTTTGACGAATTTCCTAATTTTTGTTCTGAAGCTCATGTTGCCTCTATTCTGAATAATGATGAGGTTTTAAATGTGGTTAATCATGTTGTTGAGTCGTCTGAAACGGTTGGTGTGATCGCAATTGTCCCTGTTGTTTCACCTAATACGTTGGTTGTTACCCCTTTGCCGGTGGTTATGGTTGAGACTGAGATTGCTGTTGTTGAGAGTGTTTCTGATTTGGGAATTTTACTTAATGATGCTAGTGGTACTCTTAATGAGTCTGTTGCTGTTATTGATGATCCATTTGTTTGTGATGAACCGGGTGCTTTGGAGGGTGAGGGTGTTAATGTGCCAGATGTGGTTGTTGATTGTGTTTTGTCGCCTAATGCCATTCCTTTTACTCCCTTGGCTTTGTTGGTCGGTAATGATAGTGCGGAAGTGCTTTTGGATTCTCTGGCGGTTGGTCTGGTGCCGGAGGTGGGCGAGAATACTGTGAATGGTGGAGTTGTTGGTGTTGAAACTGTTGTTCCTGTCAGGTTGGAGGTTGAGTCACCGCCTCTGGTTGTGTGGAAGGCGTTCCTTTTACCAACAGTTTTGTGGAGGTTCCAGTGGAAGTGGTGGATGCACATGCGTTGGCTACTTGTGTGAGTAATTCTTCTGGTTTGGATATTAGAAAATAGGGTAATTGGCTGATGGATTCGTCGGATGATGACTTTGATTCTGAAGGTCCTGAATCCGACAATGATTTTTCTCTTGTACGTTCTTCAAATGTTGCCACTCGGGAAAAATTTTGGGGGAGAGGTCGTCGCCGACGATGATTTTTATTATGGTGTTTTCCTCTTTGTTCCTCATCAGATTCGTTTGGCTAAATTGTTTCGATTTGCTGTTATACGAGGCTAAGGGCTATGATGTGGTCGGGGCTCGCGTCCCGATCGTTTTTTTCTGGTGGCAACCGTTGGTGTGGATTTCGGGATGGCTTAGTGGGATTTTATCGACACTAACTGGATGGTCCGTGCGGGACGTCGTGGACGCTGGAAGCCTTGATCGTTTTCTGGTCTGTTGTTTAGCTTGTTTTTTCTTCTTTTTGGATTTTGTGGTTTCTTCTTCTGTTAGTTTTTTATTTGGATGTATCTTTTGTTTTGGGTTATTTTATAAAATGTTTGTTTAAAAAAAAAAGTTGTTTATGAGTGGTAGGCATGAAATATGTGTCTTGATAAAAAAATGCTATGTAAAATTTGATGAATTTTTGTAACACCCCTTCATCCATTTTTTCTTGTATTGTAAACTCGCCTTATTACAACTAATTTCCCTTTTCACCGCAAGTTAAATGAGTTGCCATTGTCTGTCTCTGTCTATTGCCCGCTAACTGTCTATCACTATCTGCTAATCGACTACCCTGTAGGTCACCATCACAGTTGGCCACTAACGCAATTGGTTCCACCTGCACTGTCAATACATGTCTATAGCCATCTAACACAACTGCCGGCGCCGCTCATCATAGGACACCAATGCCTCATCACCAACCATGGTCTTCTGGAGAAAATTAATTTCATTTTACATTACATTCATTTTTCTTCAAGCTAAATAAAATAAAATTATCATACACATTTATTCTATACTTATTCAAATAACTTCAAATATTTTAAATACACTACATTCCTTTTACTCTTTTTTTTTAGCAAACCAAATAACCTCTAATGAAAAAGAGTACACAAATTTATGTAATGATATTTTGCACATGATGTGGTGCACAGTCTTCATCTAATAATTTCTATGAGAAGAAATAGAGCATTTTGTGAGAAAACTTTTTATTTGAATTATTAATTTATTAAACTAAAAACTAATGGTTTATAATATAAATAAAAATTTTATTTAAAATTTATATATAATAATATTCTTTTTTCCTCTATTGCAATTATTCTAGCAAACTATGAAGAATTTAATAGAAAACCACAACCAATTATTATAGCTAAGATAAGCTAGCTAGCTAGTTTGATAGCTAAATCAAACAAGTTGCAAAATCTCCTTATCTCTAGATGGTGACTAGCCATCAATCTACACTAAAAAAGAGGGAGTCATTGTTCACCATCTCATCAATAATTATTTCTGTGTTTTATTACATATTTATCGAAATGTTCCTATAAGCTAACTTTGTTTGGGGGAAGTTAGAAATGTGCTAAAAGAGCATAATTATTACTTTAAAAAAATCTTGAAACATGACATAATAATATTTTCTCTTATTTTAGAGTTATTAAGGCTTCATTTGGGAAGACTTTCTTACTGCTGTTTTTTAAAAAATAAACTTTTAGTAAAAAAAAAAAAAAAATAAATTTTTTGTATTAAAAAGCTGCTTTAAGAAACAGTAAGAAAGCATACTCAATACCAAATACCTAAATCTAATTCTTAGATAACATTAAGATTATTAGGAAGTTTCTAAATAAAACTTAAATTGTAACCATGACATATACATGTTGCCACAGCTTATTTAAAGTCAATTCGATGAACTGATTAATAGAATAAGATCAAAGCAAAAGGATTTGTATTGAGAGTTTATTGTATTGACGGTTATTACCCTTAAGATTTCTAATACCATTATATACTTTTTAATTAATATATATCTTTGCATTTATGTATATAATGCGGTATAATTTCATCATAATTGATTTAAAGAATTTACATTACAAAATTTATTCATTTTAGAAACTTTAAGTAGAAATAAACAAATAACTAAGTGGTCGTATAGTATAAAGAAAACACATTGTAGCGGATGAGAGGCTTGCCACTTATTATTGATAATTCTTCAATTTAGATTCTAGATTAAATATCATGATTGAAATTACAAAAAAGTTTTTTTCATATCTGATTTGAAAAGCTCTTGTAGAAAAAGTTCTTTTTCGCATAAAGCAATTTTTTAGTAAGATTTCTTTTTTGAAACAATGAAAAATAATGATTCAAAAAAAATTATGGTTAAGCTTGAAATCAAAAGAAATTAAGAAAAGTTGTCCTCATAATGCAATGCTATAATCTATAGGCACAAGAGAGCCTATGTAGGACAAAATTATTGAGGTAACATTGGGGTAAAATATATGTAAAGTTTTATACTTTTCATTTGGCACAAAAGAGCAATGAATGCTCTACTATGACAATTGTATTGAAAGAATAAAAAATAATATAAGTAGACTGGTTGATAGTGATATGGGTTTGTTTGTGAACAATTCTTACTGTTTTTTAATAACTTATTAGTAAAAAAATTAAATTTAAAAAAATTTATACTATAAAAATGCTTATAAAAAAACAGTAAGAAAACTGTCCAAATAAAGCCTAAACTAATGCAAGAGATATTGGTTTATAATAAATATAATTTAGAGACTACTCATTAGGAAATGTCATAATCCTAATTTATTAAAGATATAGACTTGGTGATTATGAGATTGATGGATTGATGAGAAAATAATTGAGGAAAAATGAAGGTGAAGATGAAGGCAAAGATGATGAGGAAGAGAGTATAGAAGTGAGGAAGGCAGTGATTTAGATGTGATAGAATGCCTGTTTACAAAATAATAATAATTAACATTTGCAAATTTATAATAATTACAATTTTTATGTAAATAACTTTCATTGTTAGTCATATATTTTATTTGAAGTCCACTTAATTTAGGGTTTTTTCGCTTTACAATGATATTTATGTTCTTGATTATAAATATTGAGTTGTATAATTTTGTTTTAAATCTAGAGGGTATTTATCTAAAAAAGAAATAGAAAATAAAAAAATGCAATACAGAAGTAAATAATAGTAATTAAAAAATAATATTGAGTTATTTAGTTGAGAACACAACAAATATAGAGATAATTTGAAAATACAAATATAGATTGATTGGAATAAAATTAACTCACTAAAACTCTATGCGTGGTAGTGAAGAAGTGACTACCGTAGAAGTAGTGGCGGTGGAATACAGGTACAAGGTAGTAGGCGGCTTATGAATGGAGAATCGTGGTCGGTGACCAACAGATAAGATAAGCCCTTGTATATTTGCAAATCACCTAAATTTAATGACTTTAAAATTCAAAAAAAAAAAAAATAGAAAAATAAAATTCATTGATAAAATGCCTTTTATTTGATTTTCCACAAATAAAACAGCTAAAGTTGCAAAATGAAAAAATCTATAAAAAAAAATTGCAAACAAACCGCCACACCTAATCTGTCTTTTTCAGTCTCTATTTTTTTTTAATTATTGTAATTATTGCTCTCTTTTAATTGAGCTTTCTCTCTCAACAACTTGCCCAGAAAATAGAAGTGTACGGGACACTACCTCTTATTTTCTTTTTATAATTATTTTAAATTAAATAAAAAAAAGATGTCCGGCCCTCTGATACAAATTATA